AAAAAAAAAAAAAAAAAAAAAAAAAAAGCGTTTCTATTGTTTGGTTAAATTCGTGGGCCATTAATGCAGATCGTGGCTCAGTAATCCTCAGGCCCAATAGGCCACCAGTAATCCTCAGGCCCAATAGGCCACCAGTAATCCTCAGGCCCAAATAGGCCACCAGTAATCCTCAGGCCCAAATAGGCCACCAGTAATCCTCAGGCCCAAATAGGCCACCAGTAATCCTCAGGCCCAATAGGCCACCAGTAATCCTCAGGCCCAAATATCCACGGATAGAATTCCCGCTATCTTTTAAAAATATCTCTACGTTCGCCTCTCACAATCGTTGCTCAGCCGATCGCCCATTGCCCTCGCTCCTCTCTCCTCCCCCGCCTTTTCTTATTATTATTCAACACAACAATTCTTTTCATATTAACGCTCATATTTTATCACCAGTTTCAATCCAAAATCAATCAAAATCAGTGAATTGTTGTTAGGTTGAGAACAAAATTTAGCTTTTTTTTCGTTATGGATTCACCAAAAACTGTTCCACTTACTCCCACGTTAATCACTGTTTCATCCACTGCGACTCTTCCCACTTCTTCGTCCGAATCTCCTTGGGTTTGTACTCTTTTCACAATGTCGAATTTTCGCTCTTCTCTTCACATGATTTCTCTTTTCTTTCTGTTCTTTGATGTGTATGGATTCTTTCTGTTCTTTAATGTATATGGATTGATAGTTCCCGCATAGTAAAGTAATGCTTCTTTTTTGTATTTTGATCTGTCAATGATCTAAGATGATCTTCATGGTTATTCTTGGGGCGGATTCATTTTTGGCTTTTCATTTGTGTATAATGATTTTGTAATTCGTCGATTTCTTCTTATATGACGATCATCTACGTATTCAAATTTCTTTTCTATTTCGAATTCAGGATTCTTTTTCAAAATTCGTCGACAACATATTTTTAGTAGAGTCCAACCAGAGTGATTATGGAGTAGCCACGGGATTTATTGAGGATGAATCCCAACCTTTTGTATTTTCTTCTCCAGAGTTGAATGCGGAAACTATTGAATCAACGCTTTCGAAAAGGTTCTTGATCATTGATCGTTGATACCATTATTCCGTTTCGTTCTACTATAAATTACTTATCGTATTTTCTACCCAGGACTCCCAATTTTGAGTCATCTAACACTGCACAAATTGAAGCCTACTGTAATCCAGATCTTGTGGACGATATCTTGGCGGAGTTGCAAGAGGTCTGTATGTTAATTCTGTATACTCATTAAACAAATGTTTATGAGAACTTCAGCCTATTAAGATATGTGGATGCCATACTGAAGGTTGCTGGGACAAGCATAATCCAAGCTTTTTCCAATAAAGATGAACAACCTGAAGTTTATGAAGAGCAGTCATCTTTTGAATTCTGTAGTAACCAATTTGGTTTATCCACCTCAAAGGCTTATAAGGAACAGGGGAGTGAAGATTTATGTGAACAGGTAACTATTTGGTGTAGCCATTCATCCCCAAATACAAGTGTTTTGAATTCTCTGCATAATCTTGTATGAACTGATCATGAACACTTGAAGATGCAGGATGGTAGTGCTATCTATCAGGATTACTCAGATTTTGTGCCTCGATCTTGTAATGAACAGTTATGCAGTGCTACTTCACATGGAGCCTATGAATGCAATAGCAATGATGCATTTTGGAGAGCTTTTCAGGTTCAATTTCATACTGATTGGATGCAAAATTAACTTCTTTTTTTTGGCTTAATTCAACTGATTTGAATCGATCAAATATAAAGAGATTGAGTCTGAATGGTTTAGCTGTTGCTTGTCATTTGGTCATTTGAAGGATCTCGTATGCATTGGTGTCCTAGTTATGATACCTGAGTGCAGATGGCATGCATTGATTATGTCCCTTCAGATTTAAGGTGATATGTTACATTAGATAGATTAGACATAATAGCACAGTCTATATAATTGCAGTTCATATGGTGTTGTATCATAATATGTTTTGGAGTTTACGATTTTCAAACCCAATAAATTCTCGACAATTTAATTCTCGTTTGATAACCATTTGTTTTGAAGAAAATTAAGCTCGAAAACACCACTTTTTCGTATTAATATCTTTGTTTTATTATCTACCTTTTTAGGAGTACTTTTATTAGAATATATTTTCGACAGAATCAATTAGATTTTTCTTTATATCGAGGAATTTGATATATTTTATCTTATCTTTAGCTTTGGTTATTAGTATATTTTATCTTATTTCTAGGATTTAGTTGACCGCTTATATCCTATTTAAACATAATCTTCTAAACATTAATGAAAATTGGGCTTTAGATCCTACGGGGACTTTAGCGGACTTTAGATCTTTAGATCCCACTAGGACTTTAGACCTTAAGATCTTTAGATCCCACTGGAACTTTCATTGGGACTTTCACTTTAAGCTTTAGATCCTACTAGGGCTTTGGTTTTAGATCCCATTGGGAATTTAGGCTTTAGATCCCACTGGGACTTTAGGCTTTAGATCTCACTGGAATTTTCAATCCCACCTATGTTTTTCGAACTTTCAATCTCACTTTGGTTTCACATTCTTAACATGATATCATAGCATTATTCTTGACATGGTATCAGAGTTTCTCGTTCTTTAACCGTTTTCAAAATCAAAACCAATTTTTTAAAATCTTGTTCATGTTTTGGAATTTTGTAAAGAATTCAAATGCGATAAAAAAGAAAATCATGATAAAAACAAGTTCAATTTTGTTCTAAAAGGGGAGGAGCCTTTTAGTTGTAGTTTTGCTGATGACAAACGTTGCAACAGGTTGGTCAACCCCTACACGGTATGCGTCAACGTTACCTTCAATCTAAAGAAGCTGCAGCCAGTGCTCCTCAAAACAATTTTCCTTCAAATTATACAATCAATGCTGAGATGACAACACAATATCCATGCTTGGTTGAGGACACAGACCTCTCAGTTATGAACTTCGAAGCAACATTTAACAACAGAGTACCAGCAGCAGCCAATTCATCTCATTTGGTGCGGACACCACTACGTCCTGCATCTGTTGGCAACCCTCTCTTGCAAGCTCCCCAGCCTTCAGGTATAGGGTTGCACCCAAATAGCGTCATTTTGGAGCCCTGCAATGCTGTTGTAGGACGTACCAACAAGGCCATTTCATTACCAAATTCCTTCATTTTGGAGCCCTGCAATGCTGCTGCTGTCAAAGCCGAGACATCTGAAACTCCACATGACACAAGAGATTCTGACTTCAACCAATCCCCTAATCTTGAAAAGATCAGTAAAGTTCTTCCCAGAAGGAAAAGGAAGAGAAGCTCAGTCAATAACAATGGCGATGATGCAAAACGTTGCAGCTGCACAAAATCAAAGTGCTTGAAACTGTATTGCGATTGTTTTGCTGCTGGGATGTATTGTTCTGAGTCTTGTTCTTGTCAAGGATGCTTTAACAATCCAAAAAATTTACGAACTGTTCTTGAGACGAGGCATCAAATTGAAACCCGAGATCCACTTGCATTTGCTCCAACGGTTATTGAGGACCGTAATGAGCTTCCAGTAAATAATGTGAGTGGTAACATAACATTTATTTTTTTATCATTTTAGTTCACTCTAATATAGCTGTTCATTGTTCATTTTTCCACAGGAGAACGGAAGCCTATCGACTCCACCCTTGGCTAGACATAAAAAAGGTTGCAAATGCATAAAGTCTATGTGCTCTAAACAATATTGCGAATGCTTTCAGGTTTATTACCCATCTCTATGTAATTAGTTAAATTACATTTAGTTCTGTCTTTGGATTTTAAAAAACTGTTGAGGATGGTTGAAAATGAGTCCCAGCTCATTTAAGAATTGATCGTAGATTTATAAATAAGAAATAGGTCCCCATTAGTATGAAGCCTTTTGGGAAAGTCCCAAAAGGTCCAAAGTAAAGCCATAAGAGCCTTACTCAAAGTGGACAATATGATATATTACGGTGGGAATTCATAAAAAAATATAAAAAAATAAAAAAATAAACCCCAAAAGACCCAAAACAAAGCCAGGAGAGTCTATACTCAAAGTGGATAATATGATACCATTGTAGGGAGTCGATTCCTAACAAAAAAAAGCCCGAAAAGGCCCAAAGCAAAACCATGAGAGCCTATACTCAAAGTGGACAACATGATACCATTGTGAGGAGTTGATTCCTAACCAAAAAAAAAAAAAAACCCCAAAAGGCCCAAAGCAAAGCCATGAGAGTCTATACTCAAAGTGGACAATATGATACCACAGTGAGAAGTCGATTCTTAACAACAAAAAAAAAGCCCCAAAAGGCCCAAAGTAAAACCACGAGAGCATATACTCAAAGTGGAGATAATATGATACCATTGTAGGGAGTCGATTTCCTAACAAACAAAACAAAAAAAAAAAAACTCAAAAAACCCAAAGCAAAGCCATGAGGGCCTATACTCAAAATGGACAATATGATACCATTGTAGGGAGTCGATTCCTAACAAAAACGTCTAATAAATTCTTAAGCTTACAAATATTGGATAGAACTTTAAATTTTCAACATTTTCTTAAATTAACGAACTTATTTGATATAAAAATTGAATCTTAAAAAAAAAAAAAAAAGGCTAAACTTAGAATTTAATCTTATAACATCAATATTCGTTCTTCGCTAATTATGATTATCTTCGAAGGCTAATGTTGGATGCACAGGGAGATGTCAATGTAATGACTGTAGGAATGACCATGGCAAGAGAGAAGGTATGGTGTTCTTGAATTCTTCCATTCTTCATTCCCTTTGTCATCATATGATCTAGTGAACTGCATTGAAAAAGAAAAATTTTATGGGACTCCAGAGGTGGTGCCAACTGGAAAAGCTGATGTTGGAAGCGTGGAAGGCAGCTTGATTTATGAACATGATGCGACGGCATTAAGGAAAGATATCTCCCCCTCTGAGTTCTGTAGTCAACAACTCAACTCCCCGCAAACACCATCGTTCCAATACTCAGGGTAAGGATCTATTGGTATGAAGGTATTTTTGTATCTGAATTGTTTCTAATTCCTTTTTCCTTTCACTTAGTTACGAAACGGATCCCCTAAAATCCTGGATCGTGCCCGGAATATGTCGCCCCTCACCCGAATTTGATACGGCAAGCTCGTCTACTCCAGATTGCTACGACAAGTTTGTAGAACCAAACACAGACATAATGGATGCAAATTCTTGCCAATGGCGGCAGCAGCAGATCAATTCAACGCCATTCATACCATCCAAGCCAAAGGGTTGTACAAGCATGTCACGTACCGACCAGCTACGCATTGGAAGTAGTTCACCCGACACGCCCCCAGTTCAGGAAGGCCAGAAGACGTCCATTAATGGAGGCTCTCCAGAAACAAATATGGCTTCTTTTCCCCCTCATTATGGTAACAACGAATATGAGGTTGGGATGAATAATTCTTTGGGGAGGATGGAGCGCCGTAGATATATAGTGAAGTCGATGCCTCCCTTCCCGCACCTCACCCCACGCGACAGATGAAGAGCAGCAGCTACCACCAGTGACTCGAGTGGGAGATGATTGAGCCACAATGCCAAGCCATTGGATCATAGAGGAGCAGTGTAGATATGAATACACAGGTAAGCTCTTGTTTTGTTTTTGTTCTTTTTGTTTTTTTGGTTAATTGTGCATTGGATTGATTGATGGATTCTTTCATTTATGGAAATGTGTTCTAATTAAAGTAAATGGTTGAAATAAATACATTTCATTCATAAAACTAAGATCAGTGGCAAGTAGGTAGTCATATATAGATTTAGAAAAGGGTTTATATTAGATTACAACAACATTGAAAATTTTCTCAGATTCGTATACCCCCGAACTTAGACTAAAAAACCGAAGGCGAAAACGAGTAAAACGTGGACAGTAACTCTATCAGATTTGCTAAAGACCAGAAACCAGAAAGGCAATGGTTTATTCTTTACTAACGAAGCAACCAAAACTAACTATGATCATTCGTTCTGCTGCCCCTATGCTCGAACGTCTCTACCATTTTTGTTACGAACCTAAAAAATGGTCTTCGTTGTTTACCTCCATGCTTCTTCTCTGCAACTTCTTCAGTGATCGACCAACCGTAAGCCATCGAGCCCCAAAACGACTGTCAGCCAATTACAAACAACATCCATCTCCTCAGGAATGGTGTAATGGCCCAGCCTGCATTGCAAGATCCCATCTTATTTGTTACTTATTATCAGACATACAAAACGAGAAGCACTAGAAAGTCGAGATACGAACATACCCGTTATAGGATTTAAATGTTAGATTGCTAAATCCAGATGAACTTAATGTATGTGCAGATTTCTCCCCGTGTTTGTAAGCTACGACATCGTCACCTGTAACCAACCGCTCAGTAAAATTCAATAGGATTAAGGGAATTGAGAGAAATTAGTTCTCACAAGAGTGCATTAATGCTTGAACTCGTAAACTAGCAGTGTACCTGAACCATGACAGAGTAAAATGGGCAGGGACGCAGCGCGCCTTGCAGCTTCGTGTGACACACTGACCTGGTTCCTCAAAGATCTACAACAAAAAAAAGGCTTTGATAAAGAACAAAGGCCACCCGTGTAGGCTTTCTCACGACCGTGCACTGTGTGTTTCGGCTTCTTCATAATTCACAAACAAAAATCAAACCTTGAACAGGGAAGCCAGCCACTAAGCCCAACAACTGCACTAAGGTTAATAGGGTATAGGTTTCCATTTCCATATTGCCCAAGAATACGGCATGACGCAGAGTAAATAGCAGTTGCAGCACCCATACTGAAGCCTCCAATACCCAGTTTAACTGTTAGTAAGAAAAAGAGTGAGAATATGACAAATTTGTATGCCAAACACCAAGTATCATCTGTAAAAACGATATGAGAAGGTAGATGAAACCTCTATCTATACCTACCCTACATACAATTCATAATTGTTCTTCGTTTCAAAACCGTATATATGAAATAGTTTTAAATGAGAACTACCGGTTCGAGTCCTTGACACAACAATAACGGGTAATCTAATACGTGACCAACCAGAGGAGTATCACACCAATGATTAAGTTCAGTGATTAAATGACAAACAGCAAGTCAGCTGGGGGGAGTTAAAAAGCTTTTCAAGAAGAAACAACATACTATCAGCAGGTTCTGTAGACAAAAGATTAGCAACATGGGATGCTGCAGCATCCAAGCCTTCTAAATCATCAGGAGACTCCTCTGAAATATCTCCCACATCAAACCCTGATACGAAACGGCAGAGTAACTCATAATTTAAACTAATTCCAAGAATAAATATATCGTTTTCATACGAGGAATTTGGCTCATAATTTTAATAAATCTACTTGTGAAATTTGGATAGTCTTACATGCGGTGCAAGGAAATCCACCAAATAACGTCACAGGACGAGTAGGAGCAGTAGGACAAATCCACTTAATCTGCAACAGAATTCGTAATTATTATGTTAATTGATCATATTAAACAAATCCCAAAACTTAATGACAATCAAGGTTACTATGTTAAGTAGCCTTACGTTTGGTAGAGGAAGAGTTTCCAAGAGCTGAGACCAACTGAAAAAATTTAGAAGTAAATAAATAATAAATTAGATGTCCAGATAGGCTTCCAATAATGAGGAAACCAGCCCTCCTTTAATGATGTAAATGTCTGATATCAGCTAGCATATGATAATGAGCATTATTTTATATTGATTTTGATTTTTTTTCTAATTATAAAGGACACAAAACATGACGTTACCTTCCCACTTAAAAAGAAATCAGAATAAGAATCTCTAGTAAAGGCATATAGAATTTTTAAAACTTTCTATATATGAACATACACAAGAAGATAGGGCAAGACATCGACATTTTCTCACTCAGCCACTTCTTCCCTTACTTTTGGCATGGAAGACAAAAAGAAAGTCCTCTGCTCAGATATAACCCACTAATTAGGATGGAAAGTTTGTAAGTTACATGTAATGCGCCATAGAGTTCAGTGAGTGTTTATACTCAAGTATGTAATAGCCCAAACCCACGGCGGGCAGATATTGTCCTCTTTGGAAACTCACCGCTAGCAGATATTGTCTTCTTTGGGCTTTCCCTTCCGATGCCCCTCTGGTAGGGAGAGGTTTCCACACCCTTATGAGCAATGTTTCGTTCCCCTCTCCTACTGATATGGGATCTCACATAGTACCTCAAAGTTTCTTCTTAATCTCAATCGAAGTAAGTCAACCAGAAACTAGCAAAATAACTCTAATAAGCTGGCTAAACAGGAAGGAGAACGTAAAGAAGATAAGCCATTAGTACCTTGACCCCTTATCACCAAGGCCATGTAACCAAACAATAGTTGCCTGATGCTTCCCTTTAGGCCTGACCACATGGGTCCTCCCAAACTCAAAGCTCATCCTGCCTGTTCTACTACCTGACATAATGGAGCAAAAATGAAAGCTAGCTAGTTTAGCTTGATGGCCAGTAAACCAATAAAACAAAATGAGCAGAAAGTGAACAAACCAGAACCCATAGCAGAGCTGTTATAGCTCATTGTATTTCCACAAAAATGTTGGAAGCAAGACAGGCAACAACTTGGGCGTTGGAATTAGTTCCTGCAATGAAGAGTTTTAGAATTGACCAACTGTATTTATATGCACTTGGGAGGGCTGAAATGGAACTAAAACCCATGAATTTTCCATTGGCTACTCCTGATATCACAACCCATAAACAGCCTCCAAAGTCCTCAAATACTAAAAAAAGTGAAAGGCATCTCAAAAAAGGAAGAAAAAGGCAAGAAATCTTTATGGGCAAAGAAGAATCCACAAGAGATTAAAGCATCGATGCAGAAAACGAGCTCTGAGCTGACATAGCCCTTCAGTTCATAATGCCACAGAGGGAGCAACAAAAAGAGGGATTACGAGGGCAAGAGAGTGAGAGGCAAAGAATCTATGCCCGTGAACGCAGGACAACCCACAAGGCTAAAGCACTTCAACTACAGCAACACCAGAATATAGCAACTAATCAAAATTTTCAACCATTTTTTATGCAAAAAAAAAAGAAAGGGTATAAAATACAATACATAAAGAATGATAAGACAGCCATCAAATTACAGACCTAAAAGTTGAATGTTCAAGCAAGCATTGATGACGGCGAGAATTCATAGGAAAGATCTGGACAGATTGCTTAAAATTTACTTAAATATGAAGAACAGAAGCAGAAAGTGAAGAGGATTTGAGGGTTTTTATTTACCAATTACAAAAAATTTGGGGTAGAAGTGTTTAACGACCCGAAAAGCATATCGGCTTTTCCAGTTTCTGTCTCTTTTGTAAAAGCTTTGCCTTCGCGTCCCTTCACACTGCTTTCTCCTTCTTCTTGCTTTCTTTTTATTCCGTTGTTTCCTTCCTAATACTTCAAACGCCGAAGGGACTAAAGTGGCCCAGAAAGTCCAGAAACAACGGCTACTCTCTTACACAATGGGCTTCCTGTGAAATTACTTTTTTGCACCCCCTTGCCTTCTAACTTCCTCGGTTTTTAGGGAAGGGCGTGCATGAAATCCGTAATTTTAGTACTTTTCTTTTTTTTAATTAACCAAATAAATATATGTCAATTATACTTTATATAAAATTTAATAATAAATATTATATATTTACCATATAAAAGTGACACTGTTTAGATACTTTAAAGTAAAAATAATTATTTAAAAAAATAAAAGATTAATACAAAAACGAAATTATATTTAAAATAGAAAATTACCTAAAAATATTATATATTAAAAATACGTGTTTGGAATATAATTATCTAATCAAGATGGAACAGAAAAAGCATTCGAGAAAGTACTTTTCAATCGTGTGATGATGTTTTCATGAATATGACTTACTAGTTTGAGACTTTTTTTTTTTTCAAAAGAAAATATATGATTTTTTTGAAAATTCTAAAAATTAGAAGTAAATTGGTATTTTTTTTTTTTTTTGTAATATTATATTTTTCAAGGTTAATTTTAAAATTTAAATGCATTAAAAATAATTGATTAAAAAAAATCGAGGAATTAAAAAAAATGTATATAAGTTAGTTACATATTGTATATAAAAGAATATGTTTGGCTTTTATTTTAATATTTTATATAAGTTTTAATAAAATTTAGATTATCAAATTAGTATTTATATATGAAATTACATTGTCAACAAATTAAACAATTAACATAAAATAATGATATGAATAATACGAAATTTTGAAATTAAAAATAAAATAAATATAAAATTTTAGGAACTGATTAAAAAAAATAACTACGTGAATATTGTTTTTTTTTAATTAAAATTGGCACTTTAGTAACAAAAATTGATATTAACTTTAAAAAATACTTTAATTTTAGACTTTAAGGAAAGAGAAAATTTTGTTCATAATTGCATTTATATTATGCATATAATTTTGTTGTTATTTTGAATATAAACTTATATTTTTAGATCTATTTAAAATTTAATTAATGAATTTATTAACCTTTTCGTACTATTTTCAATTCCGAATTACAATTAAAAAAAATTAGAATATGCGGACTTTATTTTTTTTGGAATCAATCTTTATTATTGGGAAAAATAAAATAATATTTAGCTTTAGAATTTTTTTTTTTTTAAAAAGGAAAGTATCATGCTACTTAAACACGTGTCGTTTCCTTAATGCTTTACAAAAATGCCTTTGGAAATTATTTACAATATTATTTAAGTATTTATAATGTAATTTTAAATGAAAATTTATTTTATGAAAAACAAAAATTTGAATGAATAATTCAGGTAATGTAATTGAGATAATTATTTAATAAAATTTGTTTTGGTTGAAATTTTTAATGTTGAAAGAATTAGTGTTGAATTTTCTTTTTTAAAAATTAATCAAATTTTTACTCGCTCTTAATCATTATCCTGATAAATTATATTAAATACACTTCAAAATTATTACTTTTTTCTGTGTCTAGAAAAGTTAATTTTATTTTTAAAATATTTTATTTCAAAATTATTCCAATGTTAGTAACTTTTTAGAAAAAACATTTACTCAATGCATTCTTTGGGATAAAAAATTCCAATTTTCATTTTTCCCTTTTTGAAAAAAAAAAAACATATTCACACATTTTTATTTAAATCATAATTCTAAAATGATATTGAATTTTGTGTTTACTATAAAGTGGAGATTTTAAATTAACAAGAAAAACGTTAAAAAAAAATTTAATAATCGAAATGTGATAAAGAGAGATCTTATCCAAATTTGAAAGGGACATGCTCATAAACATTTTGTAGTAATACAGAATACGGGACACTTACATACTTTTGAAATAATGCTACCAAAACCAATGATAAAAGGGTTGAAAAATTGGTCAATTATAGGATGAATGGCTATGCAATACAGCTAAGAATCATAGATCTCCTTCGTTTTCTACCATTTTTTTAGATTCTTCTGCAAATTTTTGAATCAATTTCAACCCTCTAAATTATTATATCTTTCAACTTCGGCTAAAATTGAAATAAAGGGTTTTTTGGGGAATTTTTTTTTTATAAAAAATGCTATATATTTTCTTTTAGCTCAAAGAATCTTCATACGATTATATAATATTATATTCTTGTGAGGAAATTCTTTTGAGTCAACGTTGTAATCAAATTTAAAGATAGCAATATCTCCAAATTTTAAAAAGATAAAATGAAGGTTCTTTACAAAAAGAGAAAAGACTTTTTTTTTTTTTTTCATTTCTTTTAAAAAAGATCTTGTAATGAGAATGAATTCTCCGAGTTACATCAATAGTCCAATCTAAAATATTGCAAATTCAATTTTTTGTATTCTAAGAATTTTTTTTTCATATCAAAAGATATTTGTGTTTTTTTTCTTTGACAGGATGGGTATTCAATGACTAAGTTTATATATACTATTAACGAATGAAATTTCAAAAAAAAATATTTTTATTTCTCCAAATACAGAAAGTAAAAAATTTGTTCTAAGTCAAATTTCTCTTAATGTTTTGGCGAAAAAAGACTCTAAAGTTACGAGGCACTTACCTTTACTTTGTTTAAAATTGAATATTAAAAAACCCTACACACTTTGCTTTTGAAAGAAAAAGTTGTCAACTCTTTGATAATAAAAACCTAAGATGGGATTTGATCTTTGGAATAATAGGCGATGGGACTAAAATAGATCTCTTCGTCACCTTTCAAATCCTTTTATTTGTATATAATAAGATGCTGTCGCCACTACTTCATTTCATCTTACATTTTAGATTAATCTAATTCATACGACGGTTTGGATTGAAATTAAATACTATATGAAATGTATATAAATTTTGTCAATATGCTTTTTGTCGAATATAATTTGGAAGTTTTCATATGATTTTGGCATCTTCCAGTTGACGCACAACTAACAAAACACTAAAGAAAAACCATGAAACCTTTTAAAAAACAGATACTTAGTTTAGGAATCTTGAATTCGTGTCGTTTAAAATCGAGGTTAGTGCAACATTTCAAAAATTGAATCCAAAGAGAAAGTAGAGTAAAAACGACGATATCGTCAAGATAAAATAAGAGGTATACAACGATATTGGAGAAACTAGAACCTTAGATCAACATGAGATATCAAAATCGCCCGAAACTGGCCAACAACTGTAAACATGCAAACACTGCTGAATACCCAGAAAAGAAAATGATCCAAGATGATATTATTCACTCTATATCCTATGAGATGTATTCTGATACAAATCTAAGCCGGGTTTAATACAAGGCTAGAATGCATAATTTATGGTCTCCATGAAATCATGAAGGTCCTTTCTTTCTTTTAATGATCTTTTCACCTTCTCTTAATCTGGAGATCCATCGCCGTAAGAGACCAGGCCCTTCTTCCCATCTGGGCTACCAGAAGGTGACCTGGACCTATCTTTGCTCGTTCTTCTTGGGGATTGTGAATCCGCAGGGGTTCTTGATTTCGATGGGGATCTGCTCCTTGAAGATCTCCGCCTAACGACTCGAGGAGACACACGAGACCTGGATCCCTCAACTGGGGAACAGCTCCTAATAGGGCTTCGACTACAGCTATAACGACGACTACGGTAACGAGGACTACGAGATGCAGAGGGAGTCCTGCTTCTTCTGTTTCTGTATCTGTATAAATGAGAAGTTATCAAGCAACATAAGACCAAAACATGTAGGCAATACCATAGGGGCATTTGTACTTGTTTAAAAGATTAAGGCTTTATGTTGGTCATGTGTCAAATGGGAAGAAACTCTTATGTTGATGAATAGATTCAATTCAGAACTTAGATTGTGAGAAATAATAGAGAGATGACAGACCTTAGCGGAGATCTTCCTCTAGGAGGGCTTCTATAGCGCCTAGGAGAGTATCTTCTGTAACTCGAATATCTAGTAACACAAGCAAGCACTTAAAAAGATCATTTCTCTGAGCTGTTCACTTCTAAGCATAGAAAACTGGAAGTGTGACATTAAACAAACTGAACATGATAAAAAAAGCTCACCTGTCACGTTCGACTCTTCCACTGTAACGATATGACCTGACAGGAGATGCAGAGGGTGTTCTGTATCTTCGAGCAAATGAATAACGCTCACTAAAACCACGCCCCCTTCTGATGCGCTTTGGAGACCCTTCTGGGGAAACACTTCTTGATGCACTTCTCCCTCTATCAGATGCCGGTGACCTTGGCCTACGGATGGGAGTAAGACTCCTAGAGTAGCTCCTTCGATTCCTAACTGGTGCTTGAGGACTTCGACTGATACTCCTCCTAGAAGGCCCCCTACCTGAGCTTCTGCTCAGACTCTGACGAGACGACCTCAATGGACTTCTGCTTACACTTTTGGAAACTCTTGCAGGACTCCTACTAATTGATTTTCTAGAGGCTCTTCTAGGTGGGCTCCTGCTTGGACTTCTTTGTAGATTGGATCTCAAGGGGCTTCTGCTAACTCCTCTCCGAGGCCCGCTTCGTAATGGGCTTCTACTGATATTCCTACCTTTTCTTCCCATACCCGGGCTCCTGCTACCATTTCGAACAGGACTTCTGCTAATGCTCCTGTTCCTCAATGGTGCACGAGGCGGGCTTCCACTAATACTTCGACTCCTGCTCATACTTCGTTTCGGACTAACACTGCGACTCTTGCTGCGACTAATACTCTTACTCATCGTCCTTCTAGGACTATAGCTTCGACTCCTGCTCATCAACTTTTAATAAAATACCAGATCTGGAACAATTGTTAAGCACAAAGAATAACTGAGGCGTGACAAGAATAGAGAGTGGACCTAGATTTTCCAGGGTGGTCGTCTACAATATCAGGTTGTCTTTCACAGCATCTGTCAGATTTAGAATTCACTTCAGCAATGCCATTGCTCCTTCGCTCACCATTCTC